ATATATATACATATATATATAACATATATGTGTGTGTCAATAAAATTTTTTATTATTATTTATTTTCGTGGATCTTAATAACTTTTTCAACATGTTCTACTCTCACAGATGGACAAAGAGGATGGCCAGCTATACAGATTCAAATAATAAATGAACTTGTTGCTGCTGCAAATCGAATGGGTAACCCAGCACTTGCTACAAGGCATCTAACATTTCTGCTTCAAACAATGTACAATCATTTAACATCTATTGAACGAAAAGATATTGCATTACAACTTCAAAATGTATCTCAACAGTGCGAGGGTGCACCAGTTCCCCTTGTATGTTACGAAGACTATAATAATACAAATAATACCAAAGAAAGATATTGATTAATTTACTCATATAAAATAAACAATACCAATAATTTATAACAGGTTTTAGATTCTGGTACTGTTATACCACCGGCTAATTTATTAAATATACCAAAGACGAAATCGTTTATTCTGAAAAACATGCAGCCACATTTACAACCTCAAAAAATAGAAAGAATAAAGGAAGATCATGGTCCATTTTTATTTACGCCAATTAATTTTGGATCGCTGGAGCGCAAAAATACTTCAAAAAGTAAAGTTGGTACGTATAATGATGGCGAACATTAATAATTTAATATGATTTGCTTCCGTCTCTCTACATTAAGCTTTCTGTTACAACAGATTATTTATGGGTAGAAGGAGACGTTTGTGAAGTATCAATGCAGCTCATAAATCCTTTACCGTTTGAATTGCATGTGTCTAATATGAGACTCTTGACAAATGGTGTAGTATTTGAATCAATACCAGAAAGTATTAGCCTACCTGCTGAATCTGGGCCAATTGCAGTTACGTTAGCAGGCAGGCCCAAGGAAATTGGTGATTTAGAGATACTCGGCTTTAGTACACACACATTAGGAGTTAAATCTAACTGTAGATTGAGACATATGGAAGGCATGTTACACCCTCAATATACGGTCGAAGTCATTCCGGCCTTACCAAGAATCGATGTCGCGACTAGTTTGCCTCAAACTGCCAGTTTCAGCTCGGGCGACAATATAGTTACCAGCGCGAGTATCTCACTTTATGGTGGTGAAAGGTTCGCCTTTATTATAACAAAAAATTCTTCCATTGATGCTATTATTATTTTTATGCAAGATTGGTAAACATAGTTTTGCTTATAGCGCTGAATGTACTATAACAATAACGAATATTGGACAAGTTCCCATTGAAATGGTTGAACTGTCGGTACAATCTACTTTAGATGCTGTAACTGAAAGTAAAATTTTTAAATGGAGCGAAGAGAATTTAATGACACAACTACCTTTACAATCTGGCAACAGTGCGAGTATTACTTTATATCTCTTTGCAGCAACAGATTTTGTAGCATCTTCTATTAGAAATGGTAAATCCTTAATAATCTTCAGATTTTAAAGTGTATTCCCTTCTTGTTTCTTATTTTAATGATAACTTATTTTTCAGATATTACTAGTAGTACATGTCTTAGTCAACCAAACAGTTTAATGTCATATTCAGGCCATAGTTCTCTACCATCTAGATTAAGTTCTCCGTCTCATCATATAAAAAGACAATCCGAACTGACTTCCTCCTTCAGATCAGGAATAAGTTCACATTCTGGCCATTCTTCCTTAATGAGCTCACGTATATCAAAACTTGCAGTACCTTTACATGCATCTAATGTTATCGAAGGTCAATTAAGAATAAAATATTCAGGAGGTGCAGGCTTAACAGCTGGTTATTGCAGAACTTCGTCCGTTTTCGTAACTATTGAGATGCTAGCCAGTGTGCAAATTACCAATTGGGATGTATTACCGGCCGAAACGTAAGTCAAAATGCAAGCATATTTTTTAAATATTTATTCGTATAGTTTATATCTCTCTCTTACAAAAAATCATAGGTTTTAGTTTTTATCAGTAAAAAAATCTCCTTGTAATAATTTTTAGATCATTGCAATTTTATCTCGTATTGGATGTGACAAATATGACAAATCACGAAATGGAATTACATTATACACAAAATAAATGTATATACATGGAAGGTAAAGAACCATGTAGAATTCCCGTTCCAGTTGACCGATGTCCACTCAATAAATTGTCTATGGTAATAAAAGATACGATACTTATTTAAAAATACATTGTGATATAATATTACTACCATTATACATTTTTTTGCTTATAGTTAAATGGTGCTGGTGATACCAGTGAACTCCAAAAAATATGCGCCGAACATATAGCCTCATTAGTTGATTTACGTTGGCAATTACTAGGTACCGAGTCAACGGGAAAAGCAACCTTATCTGGTATTACCCTAACTCAGGATATGTTAGACCTAGTTAGAATGAGTCCTTTACAATGGGGTTCGTATATATTGCTTACACACATACACATAATCTATATATAAAATTAAGATTATGAAATTAGAATTAATGAAATGAAAAAAAAAAAATGTTTTTTTTAGAAATAAGTATCAATGATACTATTGTGAAAGCACAAGATGAACTATCGTGCGCTTTAGGTGAATGTATCAGTGTTGGCGTAGGAGTGTGCAACGCTTTGGAACATCCGCTGAGCGATCTTACATTGTCTATTAATTTCTATCAGGATCATCATAATGGAGTTAATAATTATCAATTAGAAACTAGATTATCTATAGCTGGGACAAATAAAGTCATGTTACCTATTGTAAGTTACAATTTTTATAAATGCAATTTCTTCTTCGCGCGCGTTGTATGTATACGCGCGTCTTGTTCTCCATTATCATAAATGAATAATATTATAGTTGCAGGAATATGGCAGAGCCTACCACGAGTGTCGAGTAGTATTTTTTACTGCTGGTCAATATAAAATAGATATTCAATGCAATAGTAAAGAATCCGCTCCAACTTCTCCGATACTTTATTCAGAATTTGCACATGCCGGGCATACATGGCGATATATACCATCCATCGAAATAACCGTCGATGATTAACATTATTAACGTTGTCCACATAAATATCAGTATGAATTCCAATACTTGTAAAAAAGAAAAAAGGGAAAGAAAAGAAAAACTTGAAACGATACTGTATCAATTACATATATAAAAATAAAACTTTTACTTTCTATAATGAAATTAAATAGTTGTATATTATAATTCTTCTTGCATGTCGAAAGTTACTTCCACACACAAATTGTACATATTTATACATAGAAAGAAAAAAAAATGTATCATCTTTCATTTGTCTTTAATTTAATTTTACTTTTCTTGCCTAAAGGAATTATCTCTATCTCTTGCAAATTTCTCCTGAACTTTTTATAAAATTCAAGTACAGTTGTATTAGCCCACACCTGTTGACTATTAAAATCTAAAACGCGTAAACTCTGTAAACTCTGAGCTCTTGATAACGCTACATAAGATTGTCCCGCATCAAATACCCTCGAGAGGCACATTTCTACACAGTCTAAAGTTAAACCTTGACTTTTGTGAATTGAAAAAGCCCATGCTAATTTTAACGGGATTTGTTTTCTGTGTACAAGAGCACCAGAAGTGCTTTTGATAGTCCATTTCTCCATTTTCGCCTCGTAATGAGCTCCAGAACGCAATTGAATTATTGGTATATCATTTTTAAAATTGATAACAACACCTCGAGCTCCATTTACCAATCCACTATTAATATTAATATTTTTTAACAACATAACTTGAGCGCCAATTTTCAATACTAATTTTCCAGGTACAGGCACCTGTTGATCCAATATATTAGTCATAGAATTCTCAGAATCTAATGCTGTATATACTTTAGTTTCACCCTTAAGTTCATTCAATTGGAATTCATTAATTTCATCAGCTTCCTTGACATGCGAACATAATCTAGTTGCTAAAACTCCATTACTTTCAATATGTTGTTTTGCCGTTTCTTTCAAAGTATTTTCGATATCATCTGTAACTCTACCTATCCTAATGCTATTTAATATTTTTACAAATGCTTCATCTTTTTGTCTATGAACTGTTCGTAATTCAAAGTTAAAGTGAATACATTGTTGCCAAGCTTCACTTTGAAAACAGAATTTTGCTCCGTCATTGATTTTAGATACAGGAGGTAACTGAAAAAAGTCACCGCACAAAATTAACTGTATTCCTCCAAAAGGTTTTTCTGTCCTACGTACATGTCTCGCCACTGCCTCAATCTTATCAAAAAACTCGCCGTCTACCATAGAAATTTCATCTATAACTAAATGTTTAGTCTTTCTCCATATCGAAATTACAGATGGGCGAGAAGCTAACTGAAAACATCTCTCCTTGGTACCAGTACCCAAACCGATACCAGCAAACTGATGTAACGTGATTCCACCTATATGACAGGCTGCTACTCCAGTACTTGCTGTAGCCATTGTTACATCCGGAGGAAGAGTCGATATTATCTTCTTCAAGAGAAACGACTTGCCAGTGCCTGCGCTTCCAGTGAAAAACACATTCTTTCCACCGAGTACCGCATTCAAAACATTTATTTGTTCTTCAGTTAATTCTCCAGCGATAGGATTATCATATAATTTTTTTGCTGCTGGTACTTTAGAAGTGCCATCGTGAAAATATTTCCGCTTCCTGACAAAGCTCGGTGAAGGAGTAGTAATTGTTGCACGCGATATAGCCGTAGCTTTCTCCTTTGCTCTGTTGACTTCTGCGCTAGTAGCTGGACTAACATCTTCAGCACCACCATGTTGTATATTTGCGAAGAGCTTTTCCTTCAGAGGATCCACCTTTCCTTCTTGACCTGTCATCTTGATGAACACAGTCTTCAAAAAGTTTATCAATTGAGAGGAAGGTGCATTCGATAAGAACAATGTACAATTTTGTTCCTTAAATTTTATGGATGCTTTTCCTTCTGTCATAAATTTGTTAAAAACGGATATACTTTTCAAGGGTAATTTTGTGGATACATTCGCCTTTCCTGTCTGTACTTCGACGAGCATCTCACGCTGATTATTACGAATCAGGCGCAGTAATGCCGTTCTGTGAGTTGCCTTCCTTAAAATAGATCCTTGAGAGTTTAACCACTCCATCGTGACAGTGCACGTTAACGAACAGCCGTTTAAATCCATATCTTCGACCTTTTATCTTCGAGTCTTCCGTGAAAATATTACTTGATAACAATATAATAATTTTCTTTCTTTTTTCTTTTATGGATTTCTGTTCGCTAAAGGACGCAGTACCACAATGAAAATATAACAATTTTATTAATCATGTAATTATGGAGATATTTTAAACTCTGTGTTAAGACCAGAGAGAAGCCTGTAGCGGGATTCTCTAACGCCTTAGCGACGATTATCGTTGTCGTTAGCGAGCGGTAGCCTATGGCCGCGTTCAGCAGAGAAAACCGCTTAGTAGCAATCGAATGTGATTGGTTCTTACTTTTAGAACCAACGAATCAACGTCAAGTGTTGACAAGACGATAACTGAGCGCTTTCTCTGCTGAACGCAGCCTATGAGAGTTGCGCTTTTCACCAGGATTGTCCTTGCCATTGGCTGTCGCTAGTTAACGATACCGAAAACTGTCGATAGCAAGTTACTGAATCCCGCTACAGAGGCCTGAGAGACTTCTTCTTTTTCTCTTCTTCTTTCTTTAAGGGTCGACAGGAGTGACGGGACTTCCGGTGCGCGAGCTATTCTGTGATATACGTAATATTCGTCAATCCGTGAATTTTCAAAGATTATATCCTTTG